TAGTTGATCTAATGGCGAGAAGACAAAAGAGGAAGTTAGCAGTGAGTCATGGTACGATATAGCCCTAGTGACATCACGTGCAAGGGTCACATGTGACTCATTGGGTACATAACTTCTTAGTCTGAGCTGCGTATGCAAGGAACCATCCACTCAGTAAGTACCACCCTGCCGAACAGAATATATGAAACATAACTGCTTTTGTCTATCACTATAAACATTTGCTAAATATGTATGTTTGATTATGTAGGCTAGGTTATGTAAGTTCTATATACATATATCCTTACTTGTATGTATCTCTGTTTTGTCTTTGTAAATGTTTATTCTGTTTTTACTTTTGTATGCAAGTTGATTTTATTACTATTAAATGGCCTTTAAAGAGGACTGGTAACGTTCTTAAATGTACTTTATCAGGTGTCCAGTTCTGACTTTTTGAACCAGATTGAATCCAGATTGGACCTCATTATTTCCAAAGACACTGGGGGTTGCTTCGACAATTGACTTATAAATTCACTAGTCAGTGCTGTGGGCAGCAGTCAACTGGTGGAGGACTGTCCCTGAGTTTAGTATTGAAATATCGCAATGATCAGCCAGGAGAAAAGTTTTTCCTACAAAACTTTTGCTAGAGAGCATTATTTTGTTGAAATATTACACAGAATGAAACCAGTTCCACTACAGAAAAGACCAAAACCATGCTGGAATACAATCTTGGTAGGCTGACATGCAAAACAACGAATCACAAACTGTTTAGCACAGAATATGGATATATTGCTATGCTTCACCTCATCTGCTAATGTAAAAATAACTACAGTGCTATGAAAAAGAATTTGCCCCCTACTGATTCTGATACAAAATGCCCCCTACTGATTTTCATACAAAATGTTTCAAAGAGGACATTAGAAAACACGAAACCGTTTTTAAATTATTTTATTTATTGAAGGAAAAACAAATTACACAGTGTAAAAAGCAATTGATTCCCCACTAAACTTAGTAACTAGTTTGGCACTTTTAGCAGCCACAACTGCAACGAAATGCTTTCTATAACTGGAGTCTTTCACATCGCTGTGGAGGAATTTTGGCTCACTCTTCTTTGCAGAGATGTTTTAATTCATCCACACTGGGGGCTTTTGAGAATGAGTTGCCCTTTTAAGGCCTTGCCACAGCATTTCATTCTATTTCCCTTTAATACCCAAATGAGACAACACTCATTGATGTCCTACTGTGTTACTGGCTGGATAAATTATGTGCAAGTGGATTATTTGATTTTGGTGTCATTGTCCACTGTCCCATAGCCTGTGTATCAAATGTAAAAGGTACACAGTACACCCCCCCCACCCCACCGTTGTGTTTCCTTATCATACTTTCTTTCATTCTAACGTAATTAGCTGATATGCATACAGGCAGTACTACCCGAGCACCTTGGCTTTACTATCAACACATAGGCCTACCATTGGCACAACAGCTAGCTTCTCTCACTCGGATTTAAGTAGCGCCCCTCAGGCAAGTGAAATGACCTCAATTGACGTTATGGTGGCACTATAGAGCAACATTTTATGTTTTGCCCCGTGTCTCCTGAACCGTAAGACCTACATTCTAAATTCCTGATTCTACATAATTCTTGGTTTATTTCACATAAATGCCCCACTGGGTCTATTTAGCTCTGCCTCCATATTTACTATCATAATTGACTAAATATGAGTACATTTTTTTACTAGTCTGACGATTTTCAAGATATGCACACAATATTGGTCTCAAAATGTTAATGGGAGTTTGGAGATCAAGAATTATTAATAAATGGATATTTATAAAAAATATGGCCACCAACTAAGCCCTTCCTGATTTAGCTTAATTAACACAAATGAATACAGATTGGGATTGTTTGGCCAATTCTCATGAAACATAGAAATCTAATACTGTACATAATTTTGTGGAAGACCCCTTCCAAGATTGACATCAATTATTCAATAGGGGGCACTATAATATTCAAAAAACTGTTTCTCAGGAACCACTTGGTCAACTGAGCTGAAACTTTGCATGCTGTATAACAGGGCTACTTTATAACTGAGACATTAAGTACAATAATTGGACAAATATTGTGTCCATTACCCAGTAAGCGTTCAACAGGCATTTGGAGGGCTTAGCATAGACCAATCATCATAAAAGTTGAATTGCCTAATTGCCTAAAGTTTTGCCCCAATCGGCCATGAGGTGGCGCTATTCAACAAAAACAAGAACATGTCCTATTAATTTTATCTTGGATAAAAACGAATTACATCCTGTCATGCTTTACATTGAGACTGACATTTTTCAAATACAAGTCTTTTAAAATTATTTTAAAATGAGCTTTTTGAACTAGTCTTTGGTCTTAAAACAATCTGTGGTGTCTGTAGGTAAATTATTATCAAAACAATCTGGACTTTAATGCTCAGAATGGCCAGAGGACATCAATCAATCTCTTTGGCCTGGCTTGTTCTGACATAAGCACCTATAAATCCATAAGTTTTTCTCTGACAAAATTTTGACACTGTACATTTCTATGTACAATGTTTTTCTGCTACTTAAGCACACAAGATGACGGCGACTGGCCTAAAGGGGGTGCTACAGGTTTTTAAAATTTGGTCTGTACCTCTCAAACCAAGAGGGTTCACAGACACAATTCTTTGTTCTGCTGATTTTTTGACTCATACTATACCAAAACACATCAAAAAATCAAAATGGCCCCCCTGGAAAAGTTTTGAGATATTTTGCACTTTTTGAAGAACCTTATTTTTTTGAACTTCCTCCTTGTTCTATATTTTTTACCTTATCCTCATGAAACTGATATAAAATTATTTACAAAATCCTAAATTATCATATAATTATCAAAAAACCCTTCTGCATGGAGCTTAATTTACAAAAATGGTTATAGATAAGGATTGCTTTGGCCAATTCTGAAACTTAATAAGTCAATACCCCACCTGTTTCTGTTTTTTCAGCAACTGCTTGGCTAATTTAGCTGAAACTTCATGCTGTGTTAATGGGCTAGTTTAGAAGTGAGGTGTTAAGGACAATGCAATCATTGGACAATAAGATTTAAACAGGCAGAAAGCGTGGAGAGCTTAGCATAGGCCAACCATCACACAAATTAAATGATGTTTCCACATAGGCCATCAAAAATCTTGCACAGAATTGCTAAATCTTACAATCATCTATGTGGCCCCATGTGCATATTGACATTATACACAAATAGTCTATCATATACAAACAAAAAGTCTGTTTACAAATATTAAAACGCAGATGTCGAAGCTCTTGAGAAACTCCTACTTTCTGAGTGGGTGTTACGAGTTCAAGGGACGTTCAAATAAATTTTTCCAGCAAAAAGAAAAAACAAAGGAGTGCTAAGGATTAAAATAATTCACAAGTAAAACTTTAAAAATAGAAAACAATTCAAGAGTCTTTAGTGCTGTAGTGGAATGCAGCATTCCTCAATCCTGTTGCAATGATGTGTGCTATTTGGGACAGATTTTGGACAACATAAAGTAGTTGATCTGAGGTCTGTCTAATGAAGCAAGTTCAACTTAGAGTTCCTGAATAAGTTTGAAACTGAGCCACAAAGTTGATTCATTTTACAGCAGCAGTTAACAACTATGTTTGTCAACCCGGGTTAAAATACTCAAGATGGGATTAATTCATGGGTATGTCCACATCAAAGTGTGGCATTTATGACCAACAGCCAATTGCAATTATAATGGGAAAAAACAGTGCTGTTGCTACTGCCAACAGGGTTAGATTGAAACAAGCTTAGCTGGGTAAGCAACAGTTAGCTAGGTAGGCAAGAGACAGACCCCTGGATTGAGAATGCTAAGAAGGTTATCTATAATTTAAATGTTAACCCCTGTTAAATGTGAATCCCAAGCAAGCATCTAAATCAGCAATACAGATTTGGCCAGTTATACATTTATATAATTTAGACAGCTTGTGGTAGTTGTTTTAAATTAGCTTTAATTTTACAGTACATAGGTTAAAAAGATAGGGGGACCCCCCAAAAAATCCTACCTAGGGCCCCCAAAAGGCTAGAGCTGGCCCTGACATTCAAAATCAGAATGGTTCACAGTGGTGGTGACAGATACCAAACATCCACCTCTAAAAGTCATATAAAGTTATTACATGAAATGGCTATGAACATGCTACCTGATGCCTGAGACATTGTTTTATGATATTTTTGATAATTGTTTGGTCTAACATATTATACCACTATTTTACCGTTATCAACATTACATATAAAAGCTCAGAAGACAGTCTGAATGACATTGTGTACAATTCAACCACTGAACTATGCAGAAATTTTGAAAAATTGGTGAAGCTCCCCTTTTACTTGTCTGTATATCAAATGCACCTATTAGAGGATTTTTTCCTGCTCTCTATACAAAGATAAATTGAATTGAGGTGTATTGATAAATTTAAATAAAATTGAACTAAGATTTAAGTTTCTCTTTAGTATGGGTGAATGCAAAGTAAATGCCTATATTAGATAGATAGCTATATTTATTTCCAACTATCAAAAGTACTGTTGTTATCAATGTATAGATTCTGAGTGTTTTTGTTCTTTCAGCTTTTAAAAAAGAAAAAAAGAGGACAAAGAGGTGTAAGCTCTTGAATTTTGTTTTTTATACAAGAAATGCTAGAATTAAGCATTCATTGACTCATTTAAAATCTATGAATATAAAAACTTGTAAATATTTGAATGTGTATTTCAATGCAAAAATGCAAATGCAGAAAAAAGAAAAGAAACAAGACAAGTAAAACTCGGCCATTTTCACCCCTGACTATAACATAATATAATATAATATAATATAATATAATATAATATAATAAAGCTTCTTCTTCGGTTTAATTAAATTTCAACATAATACACACACCGATCTGCATCCCATACCGCATACCATCTTAATTAAAAGTGTGTAAGAAGTAGTAAGTAGTTTTGGACGCATCTTCGGTTTAACCGATCTCAGATCAGCCTCTCCGCTGTGTGACGTATCCTCACTTCCTCTCTGGCCTGCAATGAGCTGTTGTTCTTAAAATGGCGCCGTTAGACCTGGACAAGTATGTTGAAATTGCGAGACAGTGTAAATATCTTCCAGAGAATGATTTAAAGGTGAGTATCGTCGTACTGTTATGCTTAACAAAACCTTATGTCTTAAAACGTTGTTTCGTCTCTGTTGTAGATGAAGACCAAGCCACGAGTGCTAACTGGCTAGTAAGGGTTAGCTAGGCTAACAGTTAAATACTAAGCGAATTCATATTAGCTAGCTCAGCAAGCTAAAAGTACTGTGAAACGTATTTTGTCACATTTTAATTAATTTATAATTACTTCGCAGTACTCGCGAAATAACGTTATGTTTAGAGGTAGGCTCCTGGAGAAAAACGGCAACATTTAGGACGAACTGTGCAAAATAAACAGTGTTAGTTAAGCTAGCTAGCTAGTGTTATGTAACGTTACACTAGCTTGGTAGTTTTTGCTTTCTTTGCGTACTAGTTGTTTAACATTATGATAGTATAATCCGTTCAGCTTTTAATTAAAATGTGAAAGGTTAACCAGTAAAAGTTGATAATGCCAATTTTATAGAATCTGTAGCGAGCTAACTTGCGTTTAGTATTTCGCTGTCTGGGTGCAGTTACTGCAATCTAATGTACTCGCATAAAATTACTGATGCACCTTCTAGTCACCTTCCTCATCTAAGAGTGTCCATACGAACAGCAGCAGTCAATTAGCAGCAGTCTCGCTCTGCACTCCAGTAACTTTTTTTCCTGCTTTTTTTCCTAATGTTTTTTAACAACAATTACAAGCTTTAGAATGTAAGGATAGTCTTTCTTTGTAAAGAACCGAGCCCTTTAATTTCTAATTTAGTAGTGTATGTACATTGTTTGTATACAATTTGTTGTAACAATAATAGATGTATTGAAATTCATTTAAGTAATTTTAAAAGGTTAAACACGTTAATATTCCCATTTGTTCAAAAATGTATTCACCCAAATCATGATTAACCTGCAGGAAAGTACATTAGTTCTCTGTTTAGCATATTTGACCCTTTTTTCCCTTCTGTTGCCTTGATAGAGATTGTGTGACTATGTGTGTGACCTACTTCTAGAGGAATCAAATGTACAGCCAGTATCCACTCCAGTCACTGTTTGTGGTGACATCCATGGACAGGTGCTAACAATACATTGTAGTAACATGTAATACCTAATTGTTTGTGATTTCAAGATGCTGAGGTTAAACTTTGTCTTTTATGTATTTCCTTAGTTTTATGACTTATGTGAACTCTTCAGAACTGGAGGACAAGTACCAGACACAAACTACATTTTTATGGTATGGTCACCTAGGGAATGTCAGCAATATTTGGCTTTCAGTCATTATTTTGAGACTTGAAAATAAAAATAAAATGTGCCCTTACTGAACTTAAATACTTAGATTGTTGGACTTGCACCTGATATGCAGATTTTTAAATTTATGTTACATATTGTTTCATTATATGTCATTTCTCTGGCTTCGCCAGTTTGAGGTTATTCATGGAAGAGTACCTTGTGCATATTTTACTCTTTATGACATTAATTTGTATTTGTTTTTCTCTCCACAGGGTGACTTTGTGGACCGAGGATATTACAGCTTAGAGACATTCACATACTTGCTAGCACTTAAAGCTAAGTGGCCGGACCGCATCACACTTTTGCGGGGAAATCACGAGAGCAGGCAGATCACACAAGTGTATGGCTTTTATGGTGAGTATTGTTTAAAAAAAAAAAAAGACCACTCTCACATTTTTAAACCTTCCATTAATTTTTTTTTTCTTTCTGTAGATGAGTGCCAGACTAAGTATGGAAATGCCAATGCTTGGAGATACTGCACTAAAGTGTTTGACATGCTGACTGTTGCTGCCGTAAGTCCAATCATGTAACATAAAAGTCTTGTTTGTGTAATATGGACAGTGTTTTCAGGTTACTTAGTTATTGGCTCTAACTGCCTGTGTTTTTTATGATTTGAGTCTGTTAAGTTAACACTTCAACAGCATAGCAATTCCATGGGTTTAAATTGCTTTTTAGGAGCATTTTCACTTTTCACTTCTTTCAGATTAACTGTTTAGAGGTTATGGCAGTTTGACTTACAGTAGTTAATAATAATTTCAGTAGAGTTTTTGAGAACACACAAATTGTCCATTGATATTGGCAAGGTTTGTGCATGTCCATGTACAAATCTTTATAAATTTATTCATTTCAAATGCAATTGTGTGTGTCAGTTGTGTGTGAGATATGCAGGTCATCGTTCAAGAATCCCAAACACATTTATTTGCTCCTGCACAGTGTCTGGTAGGGCTGCAGAATATATTTTTAGTTAATTGCTACTGACAGTTGGCTTTTGCAGTAGTGATCTCGCAGAAGGCTGCAGATGGATATTAGTCCTTTGACATGGCTAAATGTTTTGTGTGCTGTGAGCATCCTGAACAGATGCTTCAGATTCTTCTGATCATGTCTGATTGTCACATTGCAGCTTTTAGAGTCTTGCACTTTTTTGCCAAGAGTAAAATGAACTCTAGCTTAAGTCATTAAATGATTAAAAGCATTGAGATGGTTAGAAAGGACTGTGATGAGATTAATGAGATTAGCATACTGTATACTGCATGCTACTTTTCATTAATAGTATACTGTACAGCATCCAGTGTACAACACAAGCCGTTTGCTGTACCACAGGGCAGAGACGCAACTAGACTGCTAACGTCATAGACTGAGCCAATCAGAACCATCTCAAGACACTCCCTATTTTCCTCAGCTCTCCATCACTGCTTAGCAACTGTTGGCTACCCCTTTTAATATTTTGGTCAAGACTTGAGCCTGTGCCACCCCATGTAATAACAAGAGGGCAGGATCTCCAAAGCTACAAATAAACTTTAAAAATGCCAGCTTTTGATTAGTCTGTGTGGTAATCCTGTGTGGTTTCTGAACACACCTGTTTTCGTTTGCGAGCCATTACACTCATAGTTGGTAATATGTGTTAGACTGAATAATATCCAGTGTAACACCACAAAGAAGCCTCAAAAACCGATGCTTGGCAGATTGTTCAATTGAGACTAACTTTATTAGCCAAGTTACTGTTTTAGCCATGTTATCTATGCAGTTAGTTAACTTTATTAAACAAAAAAAGCAAGCAAACCCACCTTAAAAATGACCGCTTTGCATTTTGGGATGCATTATATCATGGCGATAACTCTGGCTGCATACTGGAATATTTTGCTGGAGCAGTACGTCATCCGGGTATCTTTGGCGTAGTGGAAAAACATGCTTGAGGGCTAATAGTGGAGAAACTTCAGTATGCTAAAATTAGACTTACCGAGATTAATCTTCTTCATCCAGTGAGCCGATGAGTTTCCTCTTCAGATGCTTCAACATGGAGGATGGGCTCCCATAGCCAGCCAAGGTCAACTTTACAAATAGCACAACTGACAACCTTTTTCCGTTTAGCGTGCCACACTTTTGAGGATTTTTTTTTCTTGAGGCAAACATCGTGCTGTTGTTAACTCTCCAGTGAGCGGTAATGTTAACATTACTAGTTCCTAGTGAGCGCGAGAAAGACGTGCAGTGACGTCACCAACTAATTGACTATTAAATTAGTTGCCAACTAATTTGCTCGTCCATTTTAGTCGACTAAGTCGAATAATCCTTGCACCCCTATTATATATACATATTTGTGCTTATGGTCACAAAATTGGTTTCAGATTTTACATCATGCAGTACAGTGTTCCAAACAACTTTACAACTACAAGTGTATTAAAAAATGCATAGTTTTTTGTAATTGTTTGAAAACCACACCTTTTCAATTAGTCTGTGAGTTCTGATTTGATCTTTTCAAAAATGGTTTTGAAATACTCTGTGGCCTCTTGGTAAATAATTATCAAAAAAAAGTTGACTTTTTTTTTTTATTATCATGGTCTCCCTCCATGGCATTTCTGACTTAAATTGCTGTAACTCTGACTTAAATTACTGTAATTATCAAAAAATGTTGATAATTTTACTCAACGTGGTCCTCCACTATCAATTAATCATTACTGCCCTGACATGTTTAACTTAACTTGTGGTGATGGAGAGGAAATGGGCTTTTTGGTGGATATAGATGTATTAATGGCTTGCCTGATGTTATGGATTTTATTGTTAAAAATGTAGCAAACTCATATTTCTCAGGTGATACTAATTCAGGATCCATATATGTAGGTGACTTAGTTTGTCAACCATGACAAAGAGTATTCTGCTGTTGTTAATATTTTTGTTGATAATGCGATAGAGAAAAAGGATTGTTTAGCTTTGCACATTATTGTGTTGTAATCACGCAGCCCATCTTTGAAGATTTCTTCGTGGATCTGAAGTTTGGTTTTATGCCGTTTGTGTGCAGCCTTCCTACGTTCTCTCTCTTGTAGTTGAACTGCGGTAGCATTCCTCCAAGGTGCTTTCTGTTGGCATGACATAGTTTTAGCATTAATTGGTGTAATCTCATCCATAACACTGACAATTTTTGAGTTGAAGCTGTCCAGCAAAGCATCAACAGAGTCAGATGGTTCACATGGTGCAGAGTACATTTTGCTAACGAAAAGTGTAGCTGTGCTGTCATTTACAAACCTTTTCTTAAAGCAGATGTGTCTGGTTTTGATGTTTTAGTAAGGTCCACATATCAAAGAAAACACCGGTAATGATCTGGCAAAGCAACATCCTTAACAGTGGCTGAAATGTTGAGACCCTTTGAAAACCACATCTAGAGGGTTACCATGACAGTGTGTTCCCGGTCACATGCTGAGAGAGTCGAAAAGGGTCCAATATAGCACAGAGTTCCTTGTCACAATAGTTGGAATTGTCAATATGCATGTTAAAATCACCAGCCATAACAAAATGATTAAAACTGGTGGAAATAAAAGCTAACATATCTGTAAATTCATCAATAAAATTAGCATTGTACTTCAGAGGCCTGTAGACAATTACAAGTAATATTTTTTTGATGCTCCAATGATATTTGCTTGTATTGGAAGGAATCCTTAAAAAAAAACAGCTACCCCTCGACCTTTCCTGACCGCAAGTGAGACAATTATAAAATTTAAGTGGTGGAGCTGACTCGATTAATACAGTTTCAGCACTACATTCAGGTAACCATGTTTCAGTCATTATTATATTATATAAAAAAACATGTTTTTTACCATGGGCTGTAATAAAATTATTAATCAAATAGGACTTGTTTGGAAGAGGTCTAATATTGAGAAGAGTTAATTTGATAACCTGTACACTGCTCCAGAAGCTCTGACTCTTTTACATACTGCAGATCGGATGTACTCACATTATCTGACATGTACTCCCTGTTCTTCCTGTTTCTGATAAATACTGGAATGGGGGGGAGTTCTGGAACACAGTGGCTGCACTTGTTTTGAAAGCATTTACTGCTGACATCACTGTAGCAGCACGGACCTGAAAAATATCAGCTGTGTGTGTGTATATATATATATATATATATATATATATATATATATATATATATATATATATAATATACGTATGTATATATTTCTATATTATTATTATTTATTTATTTTTTTCCTTCATATTGAAATAGATGATTGTCCTGTGGTCTGGAGCTGGCTCTGCTTTTCAGTTGCCATAGTTTTTTATATAACTATTGCCTTTACTGAAGATTACATCTATGTAAGAGTACATCAGCCTCACCAGTTGTCCTGTATTTTTACCTGCTGATATACTGCAGGCCTGTACTTCAGCCTCCTCTAGGCCCTGCTTGATGTGTGTGTTTAGCCTTGATTTTTATATTCAGTTATTGCTTTGGCGTGTTCCTTTTTTGGCTCTGAAAAAAAACATTTCCTGGGTTGGCAGGGCAGTGATGATATAGCTTTGTAAGATCACTGTCACTAACACTCACCAATAATGTCTTTTTAAGGAACAACTTTGTCCAAGTCAATATGTATGTTTTCTGTATCTACTATAGTTTTCCAATAGTCATCTGATGTAGGTGAGGATGCATATAAATTAAAGCTGACAGTTTGTGTTTGGGTTGCATGGTACAAACAGGATACCATATTGTGATTTGCATCATATTGCGATATATTAAAACGCATGGGTAAACCTTTGGTGTGACAAGATAAAAAATTTGCCTGCATAATTTGCAATGAAGTTATTGACGTTTACTGGATCATGTGAATGCCTTGATTAATCAAAACACCTACAGAAACTCATCTCGATCATCTGAAGCTGGTGAGAATTTTCATAATACAATAAAATAGAGATATTTGATAGAGGGCTTATTTGCATATCGCTACCTTATGTAATATTGGAATTTGCAGTACTCATAGTGCAATAATTAGTAACAAGCAATATATTGTGTAGCCCTAATATACATAACTGTATCATTTTATTTTTGTGTGGCTGGAGTACAGAACAACAAATCAACAGCAAGGGAATTGAACTGAAACTTTGTGAATTCTTTCTATTGTGTATATATTGTCTCTGTGTATGTATTTACTTATGTGCTGCTTTATCCACAGTTGATAGATGAACAGATCCTTTGCGTGCATGGTGGCCTTTCACCTGACATCAAAACTCTGGACCAGATCCGCACCATTGAACGTAACCAGGAAATCCCTCACAAGGGTGCGTTCTGTGACCTTGTGTGGTCTGATCCAGAAGACGTTGACACCTGGGCTATAAGCCCGAGGGGTGCTGGATGGCTCTTTGGTGCCAAGGTCACCAATGAGGTAACAATATTCAGCTGGTTAACAGTAAAATCTAGTCATTATTTTTAAAGATCATTTACAGTACGTTTTATAAATAGATTGTGATTCCGAATGCTGATCCTGGAGGTGTGCTGCACATTAGGTTTTTTTCATAGTTTGGTATTCCTGCAGAAATGTGGCTTGAAAATTACCTATTATTACTTCTGTGTTAAACTTGGAAACAGGAATATGCAGTGCAGGATATTCCAGGACCTTGATTGTGAAACAATACTGTATTGGTTTTGTATTGGTAATTGGTTTTACAAGAAAATACTAATAAATACTACATAATAATAATAATAATAATAATAATAATAATGTTTTAATTATATATTATATTATATGTTATATATAATTATATATTATATATTGAAACTGAAAACAACTTCCTTGTTCTCACAGAAATTGATGTATTGCATATTATTTAACAGAATATGTTCTAGATGGACATAACAAATTGACATTTTTCAAGCTTGAAATCACCGCTTGTCATGTATGTATGTGTAATTTTTATTGTTTTCCCTTTTTCAAAGTTTGTTCACATCAACAACCTGAAGCTGATTTGTCGGGCACATCAGCTTGTTCACGAGGGCTACAAGTTCATGTTTGACGAGAAGCTGGTGACCGTGTGGTCAGCCCCTAACTACTGTTACCGCTGTGGCAACATTGCCTCCATAATGGTTTTCAAGGATGTCAACACACGGGAGCCCAAGCTGTTCCGGGCTGTGCCAGACTCGGAGAGGGTCATACCCCCAAGAACGACAACACCCTACTTCCTCTGAGTCTGCAGCCTTCAAGCCCCACTGTGTCCACCCTCCCCTCTTTGTCATCATGGTCAACCTTTCTTCCTGTTTTTTTTTTGGTATGATGTGCAGCTTCTCTACCCACACTGTCCCACTCCAAGATTGTGATGAACTTAGTGTCTGTTTCCTGAATAAGGAAGGATTAAGCCTGGTCTGCAAAGCAGTCTGAATGGAGATACTAAACTGATAGGTATATGTAGTCCAGGATTAGGCTTAATTTTGTCCAGAAAACCAAATCTAAGTAATCTTTGCATTTGCACAGGCCATTCTCTTGATGAGTGTAATCTTGTCATGCACAAATTTTAGTGGAATCTAGAGTAGACCTTCTTTCTCTTGGTGCTGTTTTCTTACTTCCTCCTACATAGTATTAAATCTACTGTCATAAAGTACTACTCTCATGAAGACCCAAGCAGAAGACAGGATATTCTAGAGAAACACTATCCATGTGGTGCCAGGAGACAGAAACGACTTGATGGCACAAAAATAACTACTTTCAACTCTCAGCAACCCGTGAGCACCAGTTAATTGAGTTACGGTCAAGCCTGAAGGTTTATGCATGTGCGAAGACATCATAAAGAGAGAAATGCTGAAGTATGTTGCTCTACTTGTATGCATAGATCTGGCCTTGTTATGAGTACTGTAGTGATATGGTATATTGAATACTAAAACCTTCAAATAACGAGATGGGGATGAGGGTGGACCAGTCAATAAGACAGAGAAGGCTGTGATTATTTTGTACATTTAAATAATTGTATTGATTATTTCATCATTTTTCTCAGATTTGTTGTATTTTATTGTAGAAATGGCAATCCACATACCAATTAAATATTAAAAAATAATCCCCTTTATTATTAATTTAAATGTTGTTTTATAGTGTCTTTGTGTTTGTAGTTCTCATACAGATTCTGGGAGTTAGATGTTCTTAAATGCTTAAAAAGTTGTGCCATAGAATGTGTAGGGGGAAAAATACAGCTTTTACATTGTCACTGTAAAAAATTTATTGCGATGGTGTGTTTCACCTCAGGAGCTATTTTAGGTAGCACATTTGCCGTTAAACTATATGATTTCAATTTCATGAACGCGCAAATGGAGGGAATTAGGTGGGAGCGTGTAGGACGTGCACGTGTCTGTTCCAAAGTCTCCACAAGATAGCGCACGCTACTGTGGGGAAAAAAAAAGTTTTAAAGTAGCAAAGAGTAAGATTTAGTGACATCTAGAGGTGAGGTTGCACATTGCAACCAACTGAATACCCTGCTCCTCAGCCCTCCTTTTCTTTCTAAGCGTGCTACAAAAATCTATGGTCCTCCATTTGTCAAAATATGGGTCCTCAAACTTCTTCCAACACAAAATGGTTAGCCAACACAGAAACTACTGCTGCTGCTTCTTTGTATGTCTTTTAACCGGTGATATAGCGCCGCCAAATTCAAAGTGTCGCTTCAATGTAAAAGCGTGAAAGGCACTCTAGAGCCAGTGTTTGGTTTTTGTTCGTTCTGGGCTACTGTAGAAACATGGCGACGCAACATAAGGGCCTCTGATGGAAGAGGACCCGCTTCCTATGAATGAGGGGCTTATTTTAACCTAACGACAACACAATGATTATAATAGTTTCAGGTAATTGTACACTAATGAATGCATGGTTTTGTTTGCTAATAGATTCTCCTACATCTTACACACTGCACCTAATTATTAATACTTAGATCTTAATTGAACTCCAAACCGGGGAGAAGGTTCGGTTGCGTGGTTAGCCATAGTGGTAAAAAACCCTGCTTTGTACTAAAAAGCGTTTGTGTGCTCAAAACCGTTGTGTGCAGCACTGACTGGTTGGGCTTGTGCACTTGGAAGGATAGTTGAATTTTTCCTCCTGTGATCAAATTGGCTAATTCATGTGTCAGTCATGTAATCTGACTGGCTAGTTGAAATTCCCCTCATGCGATCTGATTGGCTAGAATAATTTTCCCCTCTTGCGCATGAAAAGTGCTACTGTGTTGTTGACTGGCCAAAACTAACGAATTTAGAAAAGTTTCTTCTCTACAATTATTTCTGGGTGGCTGTGTTTCTATCAAAATGTCAGCCTTACTGGAGCATGAAAACACTAAACGACTAGACAATACAGCCCCAAATCCGTGGCATGTAGTGGCGACACCTTTCATAAAACTTAATAAAACTATATAAAAAAAGGTAGAGAAATAACTCAGCATCACTATACTTTCGGTAGTAAGGGCCGTTACACTAGTGTGCAAGTTCATGGAGAACAAGTGCGCCAATCGGAACACGACCATTCACATTTACACACGACAGTCTGGGTGCTCCGCCTCTCTTTATTGTTTCGTTTGATTGACAGAGCAGTAAACGAACTGAATTCCTCGGTTAGACGTCACTAATGCACAGCCTGAGTATCAAGCTAGTTTGTGAGTTTTTTGGCAATCTGGTCAATGAAGATTCTACTGTCGACACATAGCTGTTGGATCCCTGCGGTCACAAATGCGCCGGCGAAAATCCCAGTTTCATCTTATTTTTTCCCAGCTGGAGTCAGCTGTATGTAAATGACGGAGAGAAGCCGAGCTGGGCGGACATTTGTCTGAGACTGTTACACCTAGAAACTCGCCATCCAGAAACGACTTGCTTAGAGGAGAAAATAAAACACTAACAGCGAAGAACTTACAATACCCAGGTAAAGAGAAATACACATTTTCACCTCAGAGAGATGTTTTTGTGTGTGTGGAAAAGGCATGTGGCTACATGCTTGTCTTTCACCGCAATTTAAGCACAGCTGAGAATTTACTTGTATAGATAACTTAGCTAATAGACCTCATTAACCCTTCCATATGTCTTTTTCAAACGCTTTTTAACTGCAGTTGCATTGGTTTACTGACATCTCCCCTGTCAATTTAGCCAATGGTGCTGTGCACGTTTCGTATATTATACCTTTTTTACCTGCATCATTAACATAGGGTAACACTACGTTGGCCAGAGCTATTAAACGAGCGGTTATAGCCTTAATGCAGATATTCTTAAGAAAGCTGTCCAAATACTTATTTTTACATACATAAATTATAAGACATATATTACGACACATATCTAACTCGGATAGCACAAACTAGAGGTTTCTGAGAGGACCATGGAGTGAGCAACATTCAAGCCAGAACCAGCACCGGCTTAACGTCACCATGTTTACACCCCACTTATTCCTTTTTGTCGCTTTTTGCTCGCCTTTTCAAATCTCAACAAAATCAAACCTTTTTCTTTGACAGGACTGAGCCAACAAATAGCAGCCGGATTTTAAAAAAAGCAGCCGTCGTGGGACGACAGGTAAATGAGATTTTTATAGCTATTCGGAGCCACTCACACTGTTGAAGCAGTGCGGATGTAGCGCAGAAAAAGCTAATTTTGGTTAAATATATGCTGGAACTATTTGCTGCTGTCTAGGTCTATGCTTGGAAACCGCAGAAATGCATTCAGGTTCGATATTCAGGCGCTGGTGCCTGGAAACAAGGGCCAGCTCTGAAATATGGGACACTTTGAGATCGTTATTTTGACTGCTTTGGACAACTGAGCTTTGAAATATGTCATACACATTTTATTGTCCATGGCAGGAACGTATTAAGCTTGCAGAATGTGCATGTGTGCATGGATCCTGTAGCAATACATCACCATAGATTAATAAATAAACTATAAGGTGTCATTTATAATTTTTGTATTACTGAGATTTATTCCAACAATGCAACCTTTTTGATTTTTTTACGTTGATTTTTGACCTTGTAAGCAAGATTTGACTTTTTCTTGCATGACTGTTCACACAGACTGAATCAGAGATACATCTGTGTAATGATCCTACATGCAGCTATGGAGGTTTTTCAAGAGCCTTGAATGTGAAGTGATCACTTTATATAAGCATAAACAGCATGACTTTAGTATTTAAAATCAATGCAACAATGTAGATTTTCCCAGACCAGGAATTTTAATAGATACTTGCTGAGATGAACATGTATTTTTTTGAGGAGAGTGTTCAAAATGTTAATAGTATCATAGGATTTATCATGTTGTAGAAAGGCAGGAGCATTGGTCTAGTGCGATGATGTCACCCATTCAGGTTAGTTAAGCATGATGTCATGAGACATTCTGGTTATGCAATCTAGTTTCATTATGTATTCAAACACTCACTTTAAGTTTTTGTGAGCAGACATTTAAATATAACTCTATAAATATTACTTTTTTGTAATACTACAAAAAAAAAAACAAAAACCAACAACACATGTCCTCTCTAATATAAGGCCATGTGAAGTCTGTTTTAATTTTTCCAGGATTTAGTTTTTTTTTCTTCATTTTCACATTACAAATTTTTACTGTAATAAAGTGTAAAAAAAAACTGCAATAACAAAAAGGTTAGATTACATTCTCTTTGTTGAAACTGTTGAAATTACATTTTCAGTAATTGTTTGAACCATTAAATATTTGTTTGTTTTTTTTAAACCTGATTTTTTCCCCAGTGTAGTCATGGCCAGTTCCACCCACTAGCTAGGTCTCCCCATCACACAGTTCTACCAGGTTAAGTGGGTCACCAGCCACCACATCTTTTTGAGCTGCAGCTAACGCAATGTTATTGGAGAGCTGAACGTGCTTGGAGGAGAACTCTAACTGCCAATTTGGCTTACAATCATCTCACAGACACCCACATTAGCTAGGATCACACTGAGTGATGGGAGAGAGAGGGAGGCTATCCTACCCACCCACAGAGTGCGAGGCCAGTTATGCTCTCTTGGACCCCCAGCCACAGATGGCTGTGGCGTCTCCGGGGTCTGAACCCACATCTCTCGATGATGGGCGTCAACGCTTAGAGAAATGAAATTTGTATATGAACAAATTAATTTTTAACTTGCACACTCACTCACTCACTTCTTAATTGATTTGTTGTTGGGCTGCAACAATGAATCAGTTAAAATAAAAAAGTGCTTCAACTCATATAAGAAATCTATTGTAAATTGTGTAAAACTAATCTCACCTGCAGCAAGATGGTTGTTACGTGTGAATGTTTAAGACAATCACAACATCCACAGTAGAAACTCTGCATAAGTAAGACACTAAAACCAAATTCAAAATTGAAAAAATAGTGTATCACTGTCTGTTTTAATGTAATTAGTTTTTAGCAAATATATAGTCTTCCTTTTTTTTCCTTTTGGAGATTTTTAGATCTGCCTGATGACTGGGCTATTTTTTGTGGTAGGTAATATCAGCTTTGTATGATGTTATGACTACACAATTAAAATAAGGTCATTAATTCAGTTTTGTTTAATCATTAGGGGGAAATAATTTGAATAAAAAAGTAAAAAGAAGTTTTTCAACTATGATTTAGAACCAGGATCATCAAATAATGGCCTTTAAAAGTGGACATTTTCTCTGGCCTCGAAACCGTTTTTCAGTTCTATGAAAAATTATGAGGTAGAATAAAGCGTCGAACACACGTACCACTGTTCTAGCATCAACTAGGTGTGTCTTTCCACAGGGAAAGATAAAACCAAGGGAAAGAAATCTACTTTGTCGAAATTAATGTAGGGCTGAAGGCTTACTATTTTAGATGACAATACTGGTGGTAGGAAGCTAGAAAAATAGTAGCAAACAAAAAGCAACATGCAGAGGAATACATTTAAAAGCATTTTTCTTAATTCAAAAATATCTGAGGGAAATCAGTAGATTTTCCTGTCGGTTGAGTAAAGGAGGCTGCCTTTTCAGAAGAACTGATGAGCTAACACTAGAGCTGGGTGCTGATAGGGTCTCATTTAGCTATATAATTGATTGGACAGATGTCTGGCTCAAGGATTATTTGCTCTGTTAGAACTGGACCCCAGGTCAAATCTATTTGATGAACACTGATTTAGAAGAAAGAATATTGTGCACAAAGAAAAATTGTTTTTTTTTTCCATTTTTGAAATAAAACATATTTCAATATTTAATGTTAATTACTGACAAGCTAAAGACATTTTTTTAACTTCTCAGGTTTAAAGGAAAAAATGGTTAAGTGGTTTATAGTTGTAACTTCTTACAAATGTTGTTTTTGTAACTCTGTGTAAGCCATGCGGGGTAGGCTAGAATTGTTGTATATACTGTTTCCTTTAAGAGTTCAACATGTGGACGAGCTTTGCCCCATACTCCCACAAGGTGGGAAGGGAAAATACTTTGTTAGCATAAAAATAGGAACATTTAGTTGCAGAAGTGTTTCTGTTCATGTTAACACCATGTTTATTTTTGAGTGTACGATCAGTTTAGCTTGCTGCAGTCAGAGCAAGTGCTTAAATTACCTGTCACTTACAATGTTTTACAGTGGGTTCACAAGCTGAGATTCAGTTTACATCATGGAATGTGAGAGGCTTAGATAGATTGATTTAATTGAAGCAAGTTGGAGCAGGATAAAGCAATCTACAGTTATCTTCCTCCAAGAAATGCACTTAATGCCAGAAAATATAGATAGAGTACGGAGAAGATGGTCTAGACAGGTGTTTTCTGCATCCTTTTCCTCTCATGCAAGAGTTGTCATTATTCTGATACATAAGTCAATTCCTTTTTAAGTAATTAATACAATTTGTGACCACTCAGAGAGATGTATTACTATTAAAGGGATTTTTTTTCCCTGTTCAGTTAAATCTAGTAAATATCTATGGTACAAATAATGATAACATTCTTTAGAAACTTCTTTCTTACAGTGACCTCACTACGAGGACTGGGTGCACGAGTTTTGAATAAATTTATACTTAAGTTTGGGTGTGAAGTCTTTATGAAGTCCTTAGTTAGGGGTTGGGGGTGTTAGCTTCATGCTTGGAGTTGAAACTAAGGCGATGATTAGAGCTGTAAGTAAAACCACAGCATATAGCGTTTAGAATTTTTAGCCTATTTAACCAACAAATGTTTTTCGTCTTTTTTGTGCTTTCTATGTGGTTTTTGGTGGTTTCCCCAAAACGTATGCCTGCTTAAATATTTAGTAACTACTAAGCTCAATGTTAGAACTAGTTTATGTGGTGCAACTCATTTTAATTTAGTAATGCATAAACCTAAACTTAGTAAACACAGTCTGTGTTTCAACATACACACAGCTAGTACAACCAGCCACAAGTAATTTTGTTATAGGGGAATTTCAACTGCACTCTGTCCCCAGGAATAGATAGGTTGATGCGCACTGACTCAACTCACCTGTCAGATATATGGTTATATGGATATAACAACCGTAATACCAGAATGTTCTCCTGTTTTTCATGTAGACTCTTTAAAAGATGGTTCCTCAAGAGATCATTAGTAAAGAAAATGGTTCTATATAGAACCATGAACACTCAAAGAACTATTTCCAGGGTTAAAGGGTTCCTTGCATCATGAAAGGGTTTTTCAGATTGATGGAGAATGTTCAGATGATTAACATTTTGAAAAGGGTTCTATATAGCACCAAAAAGGGTTCCTCTACTGTTATGATGTCAAGTTGGTTAAAGTTGAAAGAACTCTTTTCGATAAGGTTCTATATAGATCCATAAGCAATACATTGTCCATCTGTCTGAAGTACCCTTTCATGATTCAAAGAACCCTTTAATCATGCAAAGGGTTCTTTGAGTGTTCATAGTCCTATATAGAACCATTTTCTTTACTAAAGAACCCTTGAAGAACCATCTTTTTTACCATATTGACTACTTTTTGGTGTCAGCTGTTGATATGATAGCATAGTTATTTCTGATCATGCTCCTATTTCTTTCACATGTGCTCTGTCTAGCTCAGGGGTCGGCAACCCTAATGTAAGAAGAGCTATTTTGTCATTTCGACAAAAATCAAACCACCTTGGGAGCCACAACATTTTTATATCCATTTCACCATCTTGGCTGTAAATATGTCTCAGTATGTGCTAATGTTCTAGTGTACGCTAAAAATATAAATGAAAACACAGACTTACTTTGCTCTGCTTTAAACTTTAGCTCAATTATAGCCACTTTTCTCGCATCTCTGGCAGGAAACTTTTCCTCAAAAGCAGAACAGTTTCTTGGAAACGTCTCTCAAGATTTGATTTTTTATGAGGCTGGAGTCAGCTTCTCATTTGCCATCTTCTGGTTCAGATTTTTCCGTTCCACCTTAAATGGAATCTGAGGCGCCAGAATGCAACTGCTGCACCATTTAAGGTGGAACGGGACAACTCGAATATGAAGCTGGCGAACGAGAAGCTGGCTTCAGCTTCATGACTTTTTAGTGTTTGCTTGTTTCTCGTTGCAGATTAAACATATCAGGAAACCAGACAGAGTGCTTGTAAATCAAGTAAGTCCATTTGTCTCCAAATCATCGATGTC